GGGCTTTTGTGTGCCTGGGACACTACACTGGGACTTGACAAGGTCCAGGCTAAACTCGTGGCTCAGCCCACAGGCTTGCTTAGCTAAACCCATGCAGGCCAGTTACTGCACTTAGCCAGGTGCTCTGTTACCTGCTTTAAAATATAGGCAGCAATTCTTCCCTGTCCATACCACAGGGATGTCTGCATTACAAAGATGCTGCGGCAGTTGTCCTCGGGCAAGGATGGGAACTGAATAAGCACAGCAGGCAGTGAAATGCACTATAAGGGTCCAAGAGTCCAGCAGAGCCACCTGGGTCCCACAAAACAGTGAGAGCACAGCTCTGTGGCTGCAGGAGGGGACATGGCAGCTTCTGCTGCCCTACTGGATACACACAAAAGAGCAGAAGTGACTGTTCAATACCATATCAGCAACTCACCCAAAGAGGGCTGCTTTCCTCCACTCATTCCTGCACTTCAGTGCAGATAGGTCACACCATGGTGACGCCTGCACAGAGCTCACCCCTCACAACCCATTTCCTCAGCTGACAAGAAGCAGATGTGAGGTTTTATCTCCTCAGTGGGCACAGCTCTGGCTGGTGTGGAGGGAGGCTGGCAGCTGCAGGGACATGTCTGCACCCAGGTCAGCTCTGCTCCACGGGTTTTATCTCCATGCACTCCAGGGCTGTGCACCTTTCGACACCCTCAGTGTCAAATGACTTCATGCCCCCAAGTGCCATAAACTTCTACAACCACAGTAGCTCACAGATGGGTATGGATGGTTATAAAATCACGTCCTAAATTAGGACAGCAAGAAGCTGAGATTGGAAGAGTAGGAGGAAGTCAGGAAATCCCAGGAGATGATGGTGGGGGAGGGATTTAGTCTCTTTAGAAAACAATAATGCAGTTTAATCTATTTTTCTTTTGACTTTACACACTAAAATAAGCTTCTCAGCTTCTGGGGCTGTCACAAATCATAAGGAAAATAAGGCCACTGGAACCCCATCAGTAGAATAAGAACCATATAGTAATAATCCTGAGGAGCTGCACAGGGCTTTCCATCTTCAAAGTGTTTTACAGACAGTAATTTATTAATCTGCAAATTTCCCCTGGCCAAAAGTAACTGTTCTGCCTCTCTGCTAAGCATGAGAGAGACACACAGTGCAGTTCAGCACTCGGGAGAGACAGTGCAGGCAGTGGCTCTGACCTCTGGAGCCAGACCTCTGTTTCTTCCTCACTGCAGCCAGAACTCCACTGATCCAGCCACCACCTGAACCCAGAAGCATTGGTGACATCTGGCACTTTGGAGCCAACTTCAGAGCAGATAAAACCAAAGTAGCTGAAAGAGCTGAAAGACTCTGATATAGGGGAGTGTAAATAGACATGTTCACAGTCCAGCAAGTAACAGCAAAGCCTGAAATAAAGCTCCCAGGAGAGAAGTTCCTGGCTGCCTTCCAACCACTACCTGCCTTGCTGGGGCATCATTCTGCCCCAGTCCTGGGCTCATCCTATCACACAGTCTCTCTGATAGCCCCCAAGGGAGCTACAGAGGCATTTTCTCTGCAAACATGATGATTCCCCCCACCAAAGGGCTATTTATACCCAGCAGGTACCTGCTCACACTACATGAGTCCCTTAGATAATTAGAATGAGGCTGCTCCTCCTCTCCTGGCAGCAACACTTCTGCTTTTGCAGTTCCCTAAGACAATACTCCCAACCACGGTCATCTCCCCAGCCTTCACCCTGCAAAAGCTCAGAACTCTTGAAGGGTGAGAGAGCAGCCTGGTTAGCAGAGAGAAAAAATGGAACTAGAAGCAAAATTACAGCTACATCTTCTGAATCAGTCAGTATCTAACATTGGCCAGCTTTGTTCAGAAACAGGAAGATAACATTATGTTGTATTCATACTGGTTGTTATGTTCTTTGTCCGACTGGTTTTTCATCTCTTTCAAGCCAGTGTATATTTATACGACTTCAGTAGTACCAAAGAAACTATTGTACGACCAGACCCAGGTCCATCATTTTTTGTTCTCCTTCCCTGGCTATCAGAACATCTGGGTCCATTAAGCATCCTACAACATGAGCTCCATCTTAAGGACAACTCAGCAAGGCAAGGAAAGCAGAAGACCATGAATACCACTGCAAACACTGACCCAAAGGTCAGTGAGTGAGGGATTCAAACCCATGCACTGCAGATCATGTATGTTCTCAAGACTAGGAAAAGATTTGCCCACACATCCAGCGTGAGTGAACAGAAGACTCAGGCACCAATTCAATCTCGGGCTCTCCATCTTTTACTCTACACTACTCAGATCACATTTCTTCCCTTGTACAGCTTGCACCTCCCTTTCAGCAACTCATTTTGTTTCAGCACCAGCCTCCATACGCAGCAGAAACAGCAGAGCCCAGAGAACAGATGTTTAGAGCCACAGTGCTGTAGGCAAAATCTGGAGGGGAAATAAAGTTTGTGGGCTTGTCTCTCCAATAGGAAGCAGGGTGAAGCATAATGCTAAAACCTTCTGACACTTCCAGAGAGACTGACAGCCATAGTGGATTAACTGGATGGAAAGGCCACTTGCAGCCAGAGCAGTGTTGGTATTTTAGAGCTGAAATTCACCAGGTGTTGGCTCCTCACCTCCTCTGTAAGTTCACAGAGCCTGGGACTCAATAGATCTGGTACCCCTGGCTTGGGCAGTCCCTGGTCAGTATTGCTGACCAGATCGCTCCACTGGGACGGATGGCAGAGGGCAGGAGAAGTGGCAGCAAACCACAACAAGACTCCTGTCCCTGCCTCCAGCCTTCCTCAGTTCAGCCTGGGCTGAACAGAGAGCTGATCCCAAAAATACAGCACTACAGGACTTAACAGTCAAAGCACAGAAAAGAACTCAGCTGAAATGACAAATCCCTACCAAGTCACACGTGTTAAATACCCCAGGAGCCAGGTCCCCCAGGGAGAGCTACCTGTCTCCATGGTCCTGCTTGATGTTAGGTGACCACCAGGGCAGCTGTAGACTGCACAGCCCTTCTGCATTCACTCCAGGTAAGCTCAGCTCTGCTCCCCCCACGTACATGCCCTGCTTCAAGAAGGAAAAGCAAGCCCAAATGCTGTAACATTTCCAGAACAGGGCCAGTCTCCCATACTGCTCTGTATTTATGACTTTGCCAGGGTGAAATGAGCTCCAGTCTCCTTTTGGTGCCAGTCCCAGGAAACCCTGCAGAGAAACAGAGGGCTGCACAGACGGCTGCCCCTCCGTCCAAGTACAAACAGCCATCCAAGCCCATCATGAATAACAAAGGACATTCTGACAGTCCAGGCTGGTTTATGAAGTCTGTGGCACAAAAAGGAAGCTTTGAACTGAAGAGTATGTCTGACACCCACAGACCTGCAGGAAATTAAATGCATACACTGCAGTGGATTTGCAGAAGAAGTGTATTTTAACTGATCATGTGTCTCATGTGTCACCCCTTGGCTTACATTCTTGCAGCACTCTACAAGGGCTCTGGCCACCCTGTCCAGCAAATCTCCCCTGAAGGAGAAATATTTAAAAATTACTACATGCCCTACAAAAATGCATAGAGGGTTCTGGTTCTGCCAGATCAATTGGCACAAGCTTGTGTGACCCAAATGCCAGGGTACTCATTTCACCTGACTGAAATCAGCTTCTTCCCAGCCGATTGCGTCAGCTTTTAGAGCTGCTCTAACATTTCCTGGGCAATCCTGATTCAACTGCACCTACCTCCCATTTCTGCAAAAGCCCAAGATGACTGCACGTGGGGTGTTGTAATGCTGCCTCAGCAGGAGGAGGATGTTGCGTTGGTGGAGAGCAGAACAGCTCGTCCAGAAGCACAAGCAAAGCAGGGATTTTCCCAGCGAGCAGCTCAGCTCCATGTTGCTGGGTCCCTCCTTCCCCATGCACTCCTACTACCTAGGGCTTAGTGGAGGAGACCTAGACCATGTATTCTTTCTCCTTTGCAGTTTTCCCCTTTGTTCACCACTTCCACCCAGCCCCTGTTAGCCAGGATGGGACATCCCTCACTAAAGATCACAGCCTACTCTGAGTGCCTGCAGCCCTTGGGCAGCTCAAGAAGAGAAACCTCCCAGGCTTCAGTCTCTGCTGAAGAGCACTGCACTGAGATGAACCTTGCTGAAGTGCACGTTGCGAATCTGGCCCACAATAATTCAGTGTGGTCCAAGAGAGAATGACAGAAGAGCTGTTCATCTGCTTGGGGTATATTGTAACCGCTTGCTTGCCAGCATTGCAGAGGGACAAGGGTTCATGGCAGGACTTGTCAAACCTCTGCACAGCCCTTATTTCTGGACATTTCCCCCCATAAAACCAGCTCCTGTTCTTTCCTCCCTCCCTCTTTCCACTTGCCTCCTGCAAATCATGCTGTCTCCTTCCACCCCCAAATAGGAAGTCCGGAGCCGAGACATGCACAATCTGCCTCTTCACAAGAGCTGGGCTGAACGAGTGCCAGAGGAGCTGCGAGCATGACAACATATTTCCTGTCAGGAAAGTGACTCAGTGAGACGAGTATCAGAGCTCCTCTTACTCTAGAAGTTCCCTTCTCCCCTTGCATTGCTGAGGCATGAGTCAGAATTGGAGAGCTGAATCTCAGTCTCCTCTGGATCTAACCAAGGATAGCAGAGTTCAGATTCAAGCTTGGGTCCTTCCTGCAACTCAGTGGCAAGGCAGCTCCATGGGCTGAGCCCTGAGTTCACCCCTCACAGAAGGGCAATAAGGAGACTGACCAAGGGGGCAGCTCGAGTTTACAAAGCACTTTTTGGTCAAGGTTATGCTGCTATTTGCTAATTCACCTGTTCACACCACACTGGTCATCTCTACACAGAGCACTGTACAGCAACTCCCCCCAGAAATAACATTGTGTTCATGCATTTTACTAAAGTATTTTACACGCAACCATTTAATCCAGAAACACTGTAAAGGCTCAAAACTCGCTGCAGACAATTTTCTTCTCTGCACAGTAAGTGGGCAGGTCCATCACATGCCATGTCCTTACCCGAGCCTCTGCAGAGGGTGACCATGGACAGCCAGAGCGAAACGAGCAGGATGCTGACCATCTTCATCCTGGGAGACAAAGCATACAGACCTGGTTATTTGACACTGTTTTATCACTGCAGGCCGTTTTTTAACTCTGAGTATATGTGTTTATCCCTCTACCCACCCAGTGATCCTTTAATTCTGGCACATCCCCACTTTATTTCATTAAGATTCCTTAAGAACAGCACCCACATGGCAGCGTCGCTCCACCTGCAGGCAGCTTGCCAAGCCTGGGAGGTGATGGCTCTGAAGAGCACAGCCCAGCTCACTGCCTTAAGTTACTGAAATAGTCTGTATCAGGGAACACAAGGAGTCAAATGGATGTTTGCAGGCCACAATCCCAAGCTTTGACTCCCAAAGGAAGGTCCTTGGCCAAGACCCCCTTCTCCTCATGTCTAAGAACAAGTGCAGAGAGTGGTAGCTGCGGCACATCTGCACTGAAGGCGTGTTGGACACTTTGACAGGACAGCCACACCAGAGCAGTCTGAATTGGCAAGGTCTGCTGCCAGTGACCTGAAAAGGGGCCAGTGCCAGAGGCAGCTTCAGCCTGCTCCTGCAGGCAGTGAAGGCAAGACAGGGCCCCACCAGCTCTTCCCAGTCAAACCCTCCTTGGAACTCGCAGGAGTAAACAAGCTCCAGGTTTGTAGACTTTTCAGAAAGGATCTAAACAAAGGCTTATACTTTCTAAGCAGCACTGATAAGCAAAAAACAATCCCAAACTTTTCCATTCCTGCTACAGAACACAATTTCCTGTAATTTGAGATAAATGTACACTGCCAGAGTTTCACTGGCTGCCCGCTCCAGTATCTGGCATTCGGCTCTCAGAGCTGCTCACTCACTGGAATTAAATTTCCCTGTTTCTAGGTTTTTCAGGATGCAATTTATAAGCTGGTAGTCATGAAAACTGACATCTACTAGATGCTCTCATTAAAGGGGTTAAGGTCATATTTGATATTCCTGGGTGCTGTCAGATCACAAAGGGAGAAGAGATGGTTAAAAGGCTGAACTTCATCAAAGCATCTCAGCTCTGCCAGGCAGATGCAGTAATGAGCATGGTGATACTGTCAGGAATGTGCTCATGAGATGACAGAGAAACCTGTTCCATCAGGGTGCATTAAAAGTGTGGGGGGAGAAGCCACAGAGCTCCCTTAAACATGTCCCTCAAAAACCTGTCCAGAATATATGCAGTACACAGAAAGGCTTTGAGCATAAGCAGAGAACACCTAAGATTGCACAGATTGCAGAGATTAACAAGAATGCGACACGTGAACTGCACAACTCAAAACCCAGCAGCGGATATTGAATCCTTCCTTTTCAGCGCTTACATCTGAAAAGCCTTTGTGTGATGCCTTCCCTCTGCTGGGCTCATCTCAAAGACACAAAGGAAATCTGAAGCATGCCTGTTCTTCCCTGCACAGTCCATGGAAAGGGCTGCACACTGCCTCTGAAGACATCAGGCTTTCAAAAATGGTCAAGAAGGGAGGAAGAAAGTGAGGATTTTTTCCCCCGGGGTCTAGCTGAGAGGGCTGATCATCCCCTACCACCTTCCCCCAAACTGAAGTGCCAGCTGCTTATCAAACCCCTCTCTATTGCCACCTACAAACAGCTCGCAATGTTACTCAAGACTCCATAGGGAAGAAACAACATTAAGTACTCCCACCCCTTGGAAATGCTGAAGAAAGATAAAACATCGTTATGTCATCAGATTGGACAGGAAGATCCAACAAGCTGCACCTCTGGCAGGAATTTAGAAAGTTTTGGTAACTGAGATGCTTGAAGAGAGGAGGTTTAAACAGTGGCAGGGAATCATTCCCATAGTAAAGATCCCTCGTGGTTCCCTCTCCATTTGTCATTAGCTAAATGCACAGCGTGTCCTAACTCACCCTTATTTTCCAGTGACTCTCTCCTGCATTTCGCACAAATCAGACTGAATTCAGCCCTGAAGCAAGCAGGAACAACTACAGACTTTGGATGAGTTTCCCTTGTATGAGCAAGGCCATTTGCGTGGCCTGAGGCCAAAATAAACTACTACATTTCACTCGGTGATACATGAACTCTGCAGCGAGCTAATATTTACATCCATTAGCTATGCTCACAGGAACATGCTCCTTTCAACTGTCTCACAGAGCCACCAGGTCTCTGTTCCCATGAGCAAGGTATCCAAGATTTCCATGTTCTTCCTACTAGTAAGAAAATCCCTTTTTTCTTGCTCTATCCAGCTGTAAAATCAGAAGCCTTACACACAGAGTGATTTACCTCTGGTTCATTCCAGGCTTTCCAGAGATCTTATCAGTGGAGACAGACGGACACAGAGCCTGTCAGATTACAGCAATTTCTCCATTACAGAAAGGGGACACAGTTGACCACGGTGCTGGCTGCTCCCACTCTGCACTAAAGGCAAGGGGCCATGGAAGGGACACGCACAGAGCCAAGGGCTGGTCAAGGGGAGGCATCACAACTTGCTGCATGCCCTGACCATGCCAGCATTTGCCAGCACAGCTCCACTCCTGTGGCACACGATTACTCACAAAAACCCCACAAACCAAACAGCCCCAAACTGTGACATCCCCTAAATAAAAAGGCTTTCCCAGAGCGGTCCTGTGGTGACACAGGAGAAGAACATTGCGTCCCGTGGCAGAGAGGGGTGGGTTTTGCAATGCTCTTAAGAACCTCACACCACAGGACTACAACCCACCCTGGTCTTGCCAGGAACAGAAGAGTTTTCTCAACCTTTCCCAGCAGCCTGTTTCTGTGTGTCATGACAGGAGAGACCATGTTGCCGTTTTTCCTGCCTGTGATGCAATTCCAGCAGTGTCTGATGAACTTCTTGTGCAATTCTGCAGAACTGCACCAAAACACCAGTTCCTGTGGCTACAGCAAAATGAGGCAGAGGCCAGGGAGTGCAAACCCAGGCTGCACCCAACTGCATCCACTCAGTGCAAATAAAAATAAAAGGAAACACTAAAGGGAGCCAGGAATAAAATCAGTGAGCAGGAGAGCTTACCAGCTCAGAAATCACACCGCAGCTAGAAAGCAGGCAATCAGAGCAGCCAGAAGGCAGATGGAGAGCTCTGATACATCCTCAGCACTCCAGGAACTTCTCACGAGACCAATATACTCTGAGGTGTTCTTAATGTCTCCATAAATTAACATTTTAATAATAATTCATAGAGCGGTTAGGGAAAATGATCCATCACAGCCCTTACTAGATTTTTTTTAAGGAACTTAACTTGAAATGTTCACTTTGTTTCAAATCAGAAATTCTTCCCTTTTCCTTCCTGAGCACTTTTTTCTTTAAACTTTCACCTTCTGTCTACTGAGGAGCAAAGGAAAGTGGGGTGGGGGGAAGCACAGTCATGGAAGTGTCTCATGCTCTTAACATCAAAAGGGGTGGAAAGGCTTGATTTTTTCATTTGATACTGGTCACAAGTGGCCAAAAACATTAATACTTTTATATTAAACACGTTTTAATTAAACACCCTTGCCAAAGAGACCTCAGCAAGGCATCATTCCCTCCTGCCTTTAGCAGCATGGACCCTGCAAAGCCCACGCATTTTCCAAACAATTATAAAATCAAAGACAGATGTCAAGTAATTAACGAAGAGAACTGCACTCAAAGTAACTACTGCACACCTATTCTCAAAGACACTGTACAATTCTACAGAACAATGCTGCATTTTCCAAGAAAAATGCCTTTGTCCCTCCTAACCACAGGTCTCTAGGGAGAGCTGATAGGTTTTCTGCTTTTCACTGAGAAGTCACAGTACGGCCTGCAGAACAAAAGCACCCTTCAGAACCTTGCCACTAAGTGCTCTGACTGAAAGGGAATATAAAATAAAGCAGTTTCTGAAAGACGGAATAAATAATTTCAGCCAAAGCAGGTTTTACATACTATTTTCTTCCCGTAATTCTGTCCCAACTCAAAAGCATTTGAGAGCCCCAAAAAATGGGATGCAGAGACAGGAAGGCTGGCAAAATGCAGAGTGGGCTAGCTTAGGAAATGCTTTGGTTCTGTGCCACATGGACCCAGAGATGAAGGCTGCTGATGGGCTGCAGAGCAGAGCTGTGCTCAGGAAAGGGGCACAGCTCTCTGCTCCCAATCACAGCCTGCCCACAAACCTTGGGTCCCTGCATCACCACACAGCAGCCCTGGAGAAGGCTGCTCGATGAGTTTGCTGGGTTTTCTTATAGGGAAAAATAGATGCACAGTTCAAATAAATTCAAAGAATCCAAAAGGCAGACAAAGGGCAGCCTGAAAAAGCAGCTGCAGAGAAGTAGCACAAAAACACTAATGGAAAATGGGAAAAGGCCCCTCAGCCCTCCAGGAAACACTTTTGCTTTTTCAGTATGTGCAGGAGTAAGTCACACAAAAGGAGGAATTACTGTAGCATAAACCATCTTGGTTTAGGTTTTTAACTTAGCCAGGGTTTGCAGTGTCTCTCTGACCCTGTGTCTCCTCCCAAAGCCCCGTGGGCACTGCCTGGCACTGCCCTTTGCTGTGGTGTCCATGGTCCCTCTCTGCCCTGCCCAAAGGGAACTGGTCAGTCCCAGGGACAGCCCTCCAGAGGAACAGAACGTGAAACCTGGGCAGAAAGACAGGCCACGGGTTTTGGAAGTCCAGCCTTGACTCCCCAGGAGGAATAACCACATTCATTGGAATTTTCATGCCCAGACATCTCCCAGGAAGAGAGCAGGGAGGAATCCAGCAGCAGTTTGATGATGAGCACCAAAAGCAGCTCGCAGCACTTTCCCTGCTCTCGTGCATGCTACGCCACACTCATCACTTCAAACATGGGCACAGTGACCAGGGGGCCCCCAGCGCTGTCCTCGGAAAAAATGTGAAATGTTACAAAAACACTCACATCTCTCCTAAGGGCACGCAGCACGATTCATCTTCGGCAGCAGCTCCCAAACAGCCAGGCACATTTCAGCAGGAATCAAGCAGAGCTGGAGCCTGCCCTGCAATCAGGGATATCACAGGAGCCATAGCTGTGACCCAATCACTGCATCTACTGGTGGCACATCTAAGGCAAAATCAGTGCTGGAGTCCCACCTGTGCCAGGGTAGCTGCACTCACCAGGCCATCGCATGCCTGACAGCAGAGCGGGCTGAAAGGAATTTTCCCGAAATGTTTCTATTACAAAAGTAATTTATGTCATCAGAACCAAAGGAAATGCTGAAATTTGAGCAGCTTGAAAGCTTTTCATCAGCTAGAATCACAGCAGATATTACACACCTGCTTTTGTAGACAGGAAAAAAAAATTAAACTGGTGGGAGTCAGATGGAAAGTTGCCCTGGTGAGAGGTGTCTCCTGTCACCAGCATGAAGGATTTTCTGTCTTGCTTGGCCAGACCTGGCCATTGGCACACAGCTTTACAGCCAGGGCTACTGAGCACCCTGAAGAGAAAAAATACCAAACCAAAACCAAACACACAAGAAGAAAATCTGGAAATAGTCTTCTTAACCAGTACCACAGCTCACTGCAAGCCAAGGACATGGCACCAGGCATCCAAGGAGGCTCCATGTGCCTGTCACCCACCACAGCCCCTCCCTGCCTGCACATCCAGGCCAGGGCTGCAGCCTGATGGCTTTTTAATAATGACATTTTACAAAATCTCTGACGTGGGGATGAACAAGTTCAGCAGTGTGATGCTCCAGAGTCACCATGGGAGGTGATCCCAAGCTGTTTCTCCTTCAATGGAGCAGCACAAATTGCAGAAGCAAGGCTGCCCTTCCAAGAGCACCAAGAGCTCCTGAGGGAGGGCAGAGCTGGCAGCAGCCTCCCCTCAAGCTCAGAGGAAAAAGTGTGGAGACTTTCACTCACAGTGAGTCATTCCTGGGAGCTTCCTTGGTAGTGCAAGATTTGCCTGTGCCAGTGCCAATGTTTGGGACATGGAGGCGAGATTTCCAGGCAGGGAATCTGTGATTTGCTACTGGCATTTAGATACCATCTCCTGGCACCCTTTTGGCTCTGCAGATTTAACACTAACAAAGAGAATTTAGAGGAAGAAGCTTTTTTTCTCCCTCTCAAAAGAAAAAAAAGTGCAATCTAGGCACGTGGAAAGAAGTGTAGGGGGGACTTGAAAATGTACCTGAAGAAATATGGAATCTCCTGCTTCCCTCTGCAGTTCTCCTGGGGTCCTCTCAAGACTTGGAAAAGCAGAAATGCTACAGAACTTGCACACTGCTCTGCTAGAGTCCAGGGTGCCACTGATTATACTCTGCCAGCAATTTAGCAGGCAGAGCACACTGCATTTCACACACTGAAAATAAACGAGCTCTCTGTCACCTCTACAAAATATGCACACCTGGACAAGTCAAATAAGCAGCTGAGACTATTGCCTAGAGATGTGTGGAGTGGGCTGGAGAAGGGCAAGTAGAGCCACAGCTATAAAATCAAACAGCACGGATTACAAATGGATCCACGCTGGCCACCAAGCAGTTCAAACACTAAGCTACAAGAGCACTTCTGTGCTCCAGCAAAAGGTACCCAGCTAAGATAGTCTATTTTTTATGTGTGAATAGCCAGGGAATGAAAAGTTTCCAACTGTGCTTCAAAGAGAGCTGAGATCTTCCATGAAGCCAGACACAATGCTTCTATTTTGGACAGCTATGTTACAGGGAAGGCAGAGTTCTGAGAAACATGCACATATTGTGCTACCACAAAATAAACTGAGAAACTAACCTTTGCACAGAAAAAAAGAAATCTGCAATCAGCAAGCCTCAAAGACCTGAGAAGACTTAAGGAATCCAAAGTGACATCCCCCCCTCGTTGGAAAAGTTCCAATTAACTGTCATGGAACACTTGGAGACATCTGACAATGAGCATTTAATTTATACATTCTGCCTCCTGACCTTTTTAATGGTTTTACAATGTAAGCAGCTCCACTAACCCTCCCTAGGAGGTTGTTCCACTGCCCCAGTGGACATAACAGCACATCCACACTGTGCAAGAGATTGCACAGCAGCAGCCCCAAGCTAGCTCAGCTCAAGTCTCTAAATCCAGAGAATACAATGCAGATTTGAGCAGGTTTTCAGACGGGCTTAATGCCTTTTCCAGGGCAGGCCTAGGACTCTCAAACCCCAGAGCAGCTTTCCCAGGAGGTGTCTCCTTGCAAGCCCAGCCTGGTCCAACCAGTGCCCTGCAGCCCCACTCCACATCTCCCCTGTGCACCCAGCCCTGCTCAGCACCACCTGCAAAAAGCTCTCAGCGTCAAAAAACACTCCAGCAGTTCCTTTTGTTAAGTTCAAGCCCTTGTTGGCAGCTACATACCTGCTCCTTCACTTCATCTCCTCCCTGCACAGCACTAAGTGCTTGAGGGCCAGATTCCAGCAGGGTTGCTCCATATTCAGAATACATCCTTCCCTTCTTGTTCCTCCAGAGAGGGATAAAACAGGCAAAAATCCTCCAAGCATCACCACACTCCAGAGCTCATCATCACTGTCTTTCACTTCCCTTCCCAAGAATCTGCTTTCCTATGGTGCCACAAATTCCTCAGGCAGCTGCAATGTCTCCAGCACCACTACCAGGTTTATCCATGCTGCTGCCAGTGGGGAAGCACCAGCTCTTCCTGAAGCATAAGGGAATGATTTCCTCAAGTGACTCTGGGTATCCTGGGATGAGCAACATATTCATGGTAAAAGCAAGTCAGATGAGTTTTTCTTTTTCAAGTTTGGGCCACACAGCATTTCCACACCTGGTACTTATATTAATCATGTTAATTTAATCCCATTCAACCTTATAAGTAAAAGCAAACAAGAATAAGACATCAAGATGCTTCAATCCCTGTCCTGCAGCTCAGACAGGCTGCTCCAAGTGTGCTTTGCACATCAATCAACTTAAAGCAATATAAAAATAGAAAGCTCAGGAGCTACCAGCCTCCCCCAAGACAGCACCTCACTTAGAAGCAGTTCCATGGAGCTCCCTCCAGCCCTCCACATTCCCAACCCACCCATTTGGTCGTCCTGGTGACTATCAGAGCAGCTTTCCTTAGCATATCTGTCCCTTTCTGGTCAGCATAGTATAGTTGCATTCTGCAAAGGGGACTAGAAAAAGCTATGTACACACAGACAAAAGGAGGAAAACAAGAGTGAGACAACCCTTCCCCCCGTGATGTGTATCTCTTTTGCTCCCCATGTCTCTAACATTTCCCTCTGCAAATATTCAGTTGTACCATCACAGGGAACCTGCTCAGGCTCTGCCAGCACTGGCCCCATCAGTGCAGCTTGAAATTCAACCTTCAAAGAACAGCACCCTGAAGTTTGGAGTCCAGGAGCCTCCTTTGAGAAAGTCTGCTCTGTGACCCACAGCACCTACACAGTGGGAAGGCTGAGATGGAGCTGCAGGCAGCAGTATGCTGTGACTGTCATCAATATTAATTATTTGGGGAGAATATGATTGATCTCACAAGGGCAATGAATTCATTCCTCCAGCTGAATGACAAACAAAAGGCAATACATGCACTGCTGACATTTCCAAAGGCTACGAGGTGCACAGACTCAAGGAAATACTGCTATGCACTAAAGCCCTGCTGCAAAGGGCCAAAATTCTGAAAATCTTCTGAAATTTTCATTTCTGAGCACCTTCAGTACCAGGAAGTAGATGCCTTCATATTCTCCAATCTGTGCTAACCCCATCCCCAGGCTGTCTCATATTTTTGCATTGAGAGGACGTAATCACTGTGTTTGGGAAGTTGGTGCCATGGTTTGACACTGGCCCAATGCCAGGCACCCACAAAAGCCACTCGCTCACCCTCCCGTGCCACAGCTGGGCAGAGGAGAGAAAAAATTAATGAAGGGTTCATGAGTTTAGATAAGGACCAGGAAAAAACACTCAAAGGGCAAAACAGGCTCAGCTTAGAGGTACAAAGTGAATTTATTACTAGCAGAGTCAAACAAAGATAAGAAGTAAAAGTAAGCCCATAAAACACCATTTTTCCCCCCCAGCTTCTCCTTCCTTCCCACCAACAGAACAGCGAGACAGGGCATGGAGGTTTTTGGGTCAGTTTATCACTGAGATTTTCCTCTGCTGCTCAGGGAAAGGAGTCCTTCCCCTGTGAGGCTGTGGGGTCCCTCCCATGGGAAACAGTTCCCTATGAACTTCTCCAGTGTGGTTCCAATCTCACTAACAGCAGTCCTCCCAAAACTGCTGCAACATGAGTCCCTCTCATGGGCACACAGTCATCCCAAAACTGCTGTGGTGTGGGTCACTCTTCCTTGGGGTGCAGTCCTCCAAGGACAGGCTGCTCCAGCCTGGAAGCAAGGGCCTCTCTCTCCACTGGGTCTCCCACTGGATCACAGCCTCCTCCAGGCATCCACCAACTCAGCATGGGCACCTTCCCCACGGGCTGTGGGTGGATCTCTGCATCCCCCATGGATCCCACGGGCTGTGGGTGGATCTCTGCATCCCCCATGGATCCCACGGGCTGTGGGTGGATCTCTGCATCCCCCATGGATCCCCATGGGCTGTGGGTGGATCTCTGCATCCCCAGGGATCCCCATGGGCTGCAGGGCACAACTCCCTCACCATGGTCTCACCTGCAGCCTGCAGAGGAATCTCAGCTCTGGTGCCTGGAACAGCTCCTCCTTCTCCACTGGCCTTGGTGTCCCCAGGTTTTTCCCTCACACTTCCTCACCTCCTCCTCTTCTCTGACTGGAAGAAAAACTGCGCCACTTTGTCTTGATCCTCCTCCCAAATACATTATCACAGAGGCACCACCAACCTCTCCAACTGGCCCAGCCTTGGCCAGCAGCATGTCCATCTTCAGAGCCACCAGGGACCAGCTCTGCTGGACATGGTGGAAGCCTCCAGCAGCCTCCTTCCCACAGAAGCCACCTCTGTGCTCCCTCCATCACCACCAAAAACCAGGCTGTGCAAAATCAACACAGCTGGGTTGAGTTTCCCTCCTGCTCTTTGACACTTCATGTCAACAACTAGTCATTGCACCTGTCAGATAAGGGGGCAAAAAAAAAAATTATAAGGAGGAAACACGGCTA